ACACTGATCTACATAAATAGCATTTTTTCAAAACATTTGCAGGATGGAATACAATTTCAGGAAGCCAATCCCAGAAGATCTGAACTGATTGGGAATGGCTTGGTTGAACAGTTGTTCTATTATCATTCAGACATACTAGTCTGAAATAATAATAAATTATAAATAATGTATTTAAATAAAATAATAATAATCTCTCAAAAGCAAGCCATGGCTTCTTTGAAGCGCAGCACTTAATTTTGGTGCACATGTTGCTTCAATCAGCTTAATTCAAAGAGTGAGCAAAACTTTGTAATAGACTTTTAATTATTTATTTAAAGAGGCTTTTATGGCTGTCCATCTTACGGGCCATAGCTCTGGGCAGTTCTCACCAACAGCAATAAAAACATAACAGAAACAATCAATACCAATATCCAAAAAAAAAAAAAAAATCAACCCCTGGCACCCTGAAACAACACTTTCCAATACATAAACACAGTTACTGTGATTCAGAAGCTTCTAAATGAATTCTTTTCTGACAATATTATGTTGTAGGGATGTTTGCAAACTCCTGGCCCTTCCACACCTTTGTCTGCTGAAAAATTCCCATATGATTTCCCAATAAAACTTGTGTACAAAGTTTTGGACCATGTTCCGAGACTAAAGGAAGAGGCTGATAGAAAGTACGCTGGATTTACTGACTCGTGGTAGACAGATTGCAACAAACTGGACTTCCAAATTTTTAACAGCACCAGCACCAGCACCAGCACCAGCAGTATGTGCCTCCCCTCATACTACGAAACTAAGCAAAGTTTGGAAGGAGAGAGAGAGAGGGAGAGGCACTATTTTGCATTTGGCTCTGGACAACTGAGTTTGGGGTTTCCTGTAAAGCAGGAAGTTCAACTGAAGGCTGAGGCTGAGGATCGAGTCCCCTGGTCAGAAACCATCTAAATGATTGCACTGTCTGCTGGGGTCACTGCTGATGAGGGATTCCTCTGTAGATGTAGCTGTAGCCATCCTGCCGAAATCCTCTCCCTGCTGGGACTGAGGGAATGGCCCAGGCCATTTGGTCCTTGGCTCATCACAAAGCCTTCCCAACAGAACTGATGTGGCAGTGCATGTGGCAGACAATGCACAAGGAATACAAGAACAACACTGCTGAGCAATGCTGTGAGCGGTGTCTTAGCACTTAGCCAGTGGAGGTTATCTCTGGGGGGTTTTAAGAACATGCCAGACAGCCACCTCTAGAGGATACTTTAATTGGTTTTCCTGCATGCTGCAGAGGGCTGGACTAGATGATCCTTGTGATATCTTCACACTTCACAATTCTAAGGTGATAGCAAAGGGAATCCATTTCTCCTTCACCACTGCATCTGCTTAGTGTTACCCAGTGGAAACTATGAATGGCACACCTTGAACCGTTGGAGGCCCTTAGGGACAATTTGCATTTGGTGGGTAACACTAGTGGATCAGTGCCAAGGGAGACCAATCTTCTGACGGTCTGAGCAGGTGAGACTAGCCAACCCCAGGGCAGGGATCACGAGTAATCTGTAGTCTGTACAGCAGGGGATACAGCCAGGATACCTAAAATGGGTGAACTGGAATTAGATACCTTCAAGGTCATCCAGTCCAACACACTCCTCAGCGCAGGAATCCACTAAATCAACAAAGGGAAGCCCAGACTGTTCCACTGCTTTACCGCTGGATCCACCCTGCCCTGGAAAGCCAGTCCACCACCTGTTTGCTGAAACCTTTGCTCTTCTTGCACTGTGAAATCTGCCAGAACTGGATTGGGTACAGAGGCCTCATAGATACCAAATGCCTCCTTTAGCCAAAAGGCGGCCCCTCCCTTGGTTAAAAGCAGGAGGGAAGATGCCCTGTTAAAGAACGTCAGTTTATCTAGTGTTAGCTAATCTCAGTGGCTCAGTTTCCAGACATCTGAATGGGGAGAAGCAGAACAAATGTGTGCTGAGCTTTTGGTTCCTTCTCACCTAGCTGCTGCTTGCAGTCCAGCTGCTGCGTGTATTTGGACAGAAATAGGAACGGTCTGAGCCGCCAGAAGGCCTTCTGTTATTTTCAGGGCGTGTCTGTATTTTACGCTCACTTCAAGCAAACCTGGAAAAAGGGGTAGGGAGAGAAGAATGCAGATTCAGCTTTGGGGCTGCTCAACTCTTGTCCCCTTTTAATTCCCATTTCCTTGGTTTGGATCTGCTGTTCCTCCCTGCAACTGGCCGTAAGAATGAAAACAAGCCCCGAGAAAGAGAAGGGCCTGGGGAGAGGCTGCAGGTAAGGGAAAGGGAAGCCTCTGCATTTTCACCTGATTCTAAATCTCAAAATACAGCCTTTCCTGTGTAATGATTAATTGCTGAATATATATTTGCTGACACAACATTCTGCAGCTCATTACGCCTCCCTGAAACGGAAACAAGACCCGTAGCAGAGAACGTACTGGGAAGAATATCTTGAAATCAAGCAAAGGAAAACCTAGCTGTACAAGTAAATTCCTAGAAAGAACGCTTACGCCTTTTGCTATGAATCCTCCTTCCAAGGAACGGCAATATCTGAGTTAATGGTTAACGTTATTCAGCCTGCACAGACCTTGTGTGGACTGCTACTGCTACAGAATGACCCCATTTGACCTGTAAGAAGGCTACCCAAATCCGGATTGTTTTTTCCAGTTCAGGAGGTGGCTCAGAACGAACAAGGACCAAATAGACTGGCCTGCTATTGTAAAGGGAAGCCGGATGGCGCCTGTCCCGGGACCTTCCCATGATCAACCCTCAGCCTTGCTCGGGAGCATCAAGTGCCTTCTCCTACCTGAGGAAGGAGGATGGAGCTCCCCTGAGCTGCCGGCTCTTGGCATTACAGGCAGGCGGAAAGTCTGGATCCCCACGTCCTGCCGGTGCTGCATGGTCACCATGGCGCAAAGCCGTGAGAGGGCCAGGCTCCCTCTGGCAACCATCTGATCCCGGACATTAGGATAGTAATACCTGTGGAAGTGAGGAACCAAAATGTTGCAAGCTACAATTCAGGTGGCCACTGGAGAAACAGAGAGACCAAAGACAATAGAAAACTAAGTTGCCTGGTTTGTCAGGGACAAAATGATAAGCCCCTTTTTAAAAGGCTGGAAACCCTTTATGGACTTAAGTGAAGTGATGATTTATGGATCGGCTGTTGGAAAAAGAGTTACACATAGGGCTGAGGGGATTTTTGTAATACTAAGGAGGGAGGCTGAGTAATGAATTTGTTAATTCCTGTAACAAAGAAGGTCGGAAGTCACATATTTTTGTTTCTTTAGCTAATTTTTCTTCTTTTTTCTTTCTTGTTTTTCACATTTTTTATTTTTCTTCTATTCTCTTTTACTTTTTCTTTCAGATTTGTCCTTTATCGCTTGAAAAAAATTCTCAATAAATATACATATAAAAAAAATAAGTTGCTGAGGACAGAATTGGAACTTTCTGCGTGCAAAGCCAAACGTTCTCCTCCTGAGCTGTGCTTCCTTCTTTAAGCCTGAGAGCCAGACAGGAGGCACAGAACGTGCAGGGTGGGGGCAGCCTGCAGCCTGCCAGCCCCCTTTTTGTGGTCCCCAGGCACCTGAGGCCAAATAACTGTCCCCCTTTCCCCCCATTTCCTGGAGATTTGGGATTTTTGAGGGTCAACATGGGGGACTTAACCTAACAGATGCTTGAAACACTTGCAACCCACTCCCACTTTGGGACTGTGGCCCCTGAAATGCCATGCCAGCCCAGGTACATCTCTCAACAATTCCTTCCAAGAAGAGCAGGGCCAGGCAACAAAAGGATTAGTGCCCTTCCGTACAAAATGTCCAGAACAGTGTACAATTAAGAATAAAATTACAACATTAGTTGGTTTTAAATGAAACCAAGCCCTCTAAGGTCTGGTTAAAGGATCTGGGTAGGTTCCGCCCACAGAAAAGACAACTGAGGGGAGACAGGAGCGCAATCTGGGGAGTTCCCTGAGTTCCCACAAGATCCCACAAGATCCCTCTGAGCTCCTGTCATCCTCAGCACCACGTGATACAGGGAGGGGGGAGAAACAGGCTGAACCCTTTGGGTGGGCTGCGTTACAGGGACGAAGTCCTGCGGTGCATACCTGCACCAGATTTCGAAATGAATTCCTCCCCCTTCTCCGGCTAAGCTCTGGGCAGAGAAAGCGCTGAGCAGCAACCGCTGAACTGGGATGTCAGCTGGGACCAGCAGAGAGTGATGGTGCTCATCGTTGAAGGTGGGATCGGGAACACACAAAGTTGTTGACGTACGGAAAGCCTTTAACTCAAGGTCTGCGGGAGGAAAGGATGGTTTAAGAGTTGCTGGATGAACTGCAGGCAACATTCCTCTGGCAGCAGCTTCTCTGCAGGCCTTTGAAACTTCTCTAACGGTCCTTCTCGTAGCAAAAGCTCACAGAAAGGCATCAGACTTGCTAGCAGAGAGGACACGTGCAAACACAGGCTGCTGGATGCCATATTGATTTATTACGTATGTATTCCACCATTTCCCCAAGGGCTTCCAGATTATGTACATGGATTCCCTCCACCCCACCTTTTAATCCTCACTACAATCCTGTGCCAGTCCAAAGTCACTATCATAGCTAGCAGGTAGAACAGAGATCTACCAGACTGGTTTTAGATAATGATAAATAGTGGTGACATTAGTAGAAATATTACAGCTTAGAGTTTTGCAGTGGTTTACGATCATTGCTCGAGGTGATACAATGGTTCTAGTTTTATATATTCAATTAATGATTTCATCAATGAAATAACGAATTCTAAATTTTATGACAATTGTAAATTCTCTGATTATTTACTGACATTTTATTTGCCAACCACTATGTCTTTTCTCATGTTCTTTTTTCTTTTATGTGGTCATTTATTTTATTCATTAAATGTTTTAAAACATGTGTGCGCACGCACGCACACACATACATATATATAAATAAAAAGTGGAAACAAAAAGAGATCTACCAGACTGGCACTTCATCCATGACATCAGAGTAGCCATAACATGAGGAGGCTTGCTTTACATCCAGAGTGTGTGCCAGTGCGCTCCATGTAGCTCCTAGTTGGTGGCATGTGGGCTTGCCACGCAGCCGCTAGACTAGTGATCCTTGCTTGTGCAGAACAGCATGAGCATACTCTGGTAGAACTGAGTTGTGGTTGCAAAGAATACGGACAAGGAGTACAGGGAACAGCGGGAGCCTGTTTGAAAGGGTCTTTTCCACAAACTCACCCCATTCGCTTAACTCTGCCTGATGGAGCATATCAGATTCTGATTTTTGAACAGGGAAGTGGTACTGGACGTAACAGTCTGCTTCTCCCCAGACGGTGGACTGGAGGGGCGTGAGGCCTTTGACACCCTTGATGTGGATCTCAAAGATATGTTCCACCAGTCCTTCCTTTTCTCTGTTTGACAGCTGAATAAGGCAAAAAAGAAATGGAATAAGGGGGGTAAGGCAGCCTGAAAGGGGAATCTTACAGGCATTAATTAGACTTAGTCTAAAATAGCAATCCATTGTACCATACATAAAACAGCCAAGCCGCTTTGATGCACACAACAATTCTACATCCCTTACATTTCTCCCATTCAGTTCCTTCCCCCATGCCACTTCCTTAAAGACTGGGGTCTCTAGGAAAAGGCTTACTTGACTGCTGGAGCAGCCACAACCACATAGCCCAAGACTTTTTCTCTTTAATGCTGGGATCCCAGAGACAGCTCCAACCTCCAGGGAACTTCCATGGTTCTAGAGATGTTGAAGCAGAGAAGTGAGTCTGAAGTGAGAAAACGGACAACCTCCAGGGCTGCCTTGATTCTTACCATGCCTGGACCCCACCCAGGCCCCAAAGACAGATTTGCAGTAAAAAATGGTGGACTGCTGCAGCCTGGGGATTTATAGGGAACGGTCCCCACTGACTAGAAAAAAGGTAAAAGTAAGCCAAGGTGCTCGGAGCTGCTCAGTTTCAGAGGGAGGCAAGGAGCAATTTCAAAAGCTTGCCTTCTTGTGAATGGAATTTTGTGACCAGCACGCCATAATGTAAGGTCCTGGATCAGGACTAGTGAGACCCAAGTTCAAGAATTGTTGGTCAAGCCATGCTCTTTCAACCCCTCTCTCTTTCCAATTGGTGAAAATGAAAGCAATGTATGCCGTCTGAAACGCTTGGGGAAATAAAGACCCATGCCCTGTGGCCCCAAAAGGGCAGGGGCCCTGGTCTAACAATGATCTGGAAGCACCTTTGGGGAGGGCGCAGGGAGAGGATCTAGAGAGTGTGGTGGGCGCAGCACACTCGGAGATGCCGTTCCTTCTTCCTTCTTGAGCCTCTGCAGCGCCAACACCTGATCAGCAGAACCCATGGCTAAGATGACCTTCAGGCTCCCGTTCTTTTGACCAGTGAAGACATCAACCACAGGCATGGGGCCGTCCACTGCCAGCACAGGATACTGAGCCTGTAGTAGCAGGCTGGAAACCTTGGGGTCTCTGCAGAGGGAAGAAGCAGAAGCAATTACCAGGCCTGATTTGCTGTAATTTGTATGCATGAAGTCAGCCAGCTTGGTGCTCTGTAGAGGAGCTGGACTATCGCTCCCAATGGCCATGCTGCAGGAGAATGATGGTGCCTGTAGTTCATCACAGCTGAAGGGTGCAGTGGTTAAAGTGTCAGAGTCACTGCGAAGAGGGCTACCTTCAAATCCCCCTCAACTGAGGGGTTACCAGCCAGTGACAATCTTTCAGTCTAGCCAACTTCACTGGATTATTGTGAAGACAAAACAGAGGGGTGAGAAGCACGCATACAGCCTTGATCCGCTAGAAAACAAGCAGGCTAGAAATGTAATAGGTATATAAAAACACATTTGTAACCCTAAACCTAAAGCGCCTGGATTTCTGGGAGTCTTCTGCAGAGCAAACGTTCCACCTACAGACTAAAAAATGAGAAACTCCAGGGAGGATGACCACTTGGGGGTGAGGGACTTGACAATCCAATTATGCTTAAAAACAAAAAACAAAAAAACAATTTCCCCTTTTAAAAGGCTTGTTTCAAAATGCACGCGTTAGAAAGCAAAGGAAGATTCTTACTTGAATGAAACATAGAACTGATGTAGGGGAAGCTTCGCCAATCCTAACAGCCTGTCTCCTCCAGGGCTGAGCATCTTATTCCACACCTCAATCACCATGACGTTGTTCTTCAGCCTCTCCAGATGTTTTGATGTCAGAGAAACTGGGGTAACCTAGAGGGTGGATTGGACTCTTAGTGGAGCAGCCCACAAATCTGAAGGCAGGGCAGCCATTTCATTCTGCCTAGGAAGCTTCTCAGCTTTTAAATCAAGGAGTGGCGAAATGTTTGAGGATATCTTTCCTTAGGGGTGAAAGAAAAGAGATACCAGAGGAAAAAATTTCTATATTCAACAAATTTACAGGCTACCATACCGAGCTCTAGGAGAGTCGCAGCCAGGAGTCCTGCTGGCTGGCAATCCTGGTAGCTGCAGTCCTCAGAACTGTCACATTCCCCACTGTTAAGGGGCAGTAAGCCACGGCTTGGACTGAGAAGACCTTTATCACCAGATAGTAGTGACAACTGGCCTGTATGCCCAGAATGGCATCGGTTTGGGAAGAAACATATTTCTGACTCATGGACCTCGGCCTGGAGAACTGAGTGAACTATGGAAGTCTAATAATTACCCATCCAATCTTAAGGGCGGGTCTGCAATTTGTTCCCTGATCTCAAGACTGCCAGAGCTACCCTGATGCTATTGAATGGCTGAAGGACCAGTATTACCAAAATCATTTCCTATATTTTGGCTGTGGGTCTTTACAAGCCCAACATGGTTGGGCACCATCAAGGAAGCAAGGATTATACAGACTGAGGGTCTCTTTAATGCTAATCTGGATTAAATAGAGACTCTTGGGAACTATAGGACATAATTGAGACAGATGCTCTGTGAATGATTTAAATGTTTCTTCCCAGCTTTCTCTCTACCTGGGCTGAGCTGCCATTTTTCAGATGAGCTGCTAACAAATTTGCCTTTTGTCTCTTGATTGTTTATGTCCGCTCTTCCTTCTGTTACTTCTCCCTACATTTCTCACAGGGCTGGACAACATTAGAAAGCTGTGACTTGCCTGAGAAAAATGGAAGGTGGGTTGCACAGTTCCCCATATGATGGCAGACCTCGTAGCTTCTTCGGTGCTAAAGAGCTTGCAAATTAAATACATGTTACAAGAGCTGTCCAGCCCAACGTTTGGAGGAAGAGTGATCTGCCCCTCTGAGACCATCAAAAAGACGTGGAGCAGCAACCCTTCCTCTTCCAAGGCGCTCATCTGGGTCAGGAGGTTCCGGGAGACAGGCAGAGGGACTGGCTGCTGACTCACATCCTTTGGGGGCCTTTCAAAAGTGGCAGGCAAAGGATCTTCAGTTCTCACTGGGACTTGGCAGTTACTTTGCTTGGCAGGCTGAGGGCTTTTGGTAGAAGAGGGGCTTCTCTCAGAATCTTGAAAAATTGTGCCATGGCTCCTGATGGAACTAATAGGAGCTCTTAGTGCTGTGCTGGTTGCTCTGGTATTGGAGAAATCTTTGTTATCAGCTGCAAGCTCCATTGACACCTGTAACGTAAAGTTAGAAACATCACCATTAAGAGGATGATTGTGATGGAATGTATCTACGAGGAGGGTGATGTGGGAGATCAAGGCTATCAGGAAGGAGGGGCTGCATTCCAGCAGGGGAAAGGAGACAAAAGACAACACAGTTCGCAGGGGGAGCGTGGGAAGCAAAAGAGGTTCAGGGTAGCCACTCCCTAGAATCTCCCAGGGTAGATCCACTAGTTGCTGTAGTATAGATTTAGTCTGGCAAGATTCTGTCTATAAAGCGTAAGCAAATAAAGGGACTGTACTCGACTGGACAGTTTCATCATTGTTCTTGGGCTGGGCCTGATAATGATGGACACGTTGCCTGTTACTACCTAACTTCCATTTCATAGACCCAGAAGAGGATGGGATGGACTCGAAAGTCTACTTTTGATTACAAGAGGAAAGCCCTACAACTGGCCAAGGTCTTCTGGAAACAGACCACGGAACCTGGAAGATTTATCTATTTATTTAAATGATTTATATTGCTGCCCATCCCACAGGAGTGACTCCAGGCAGTGGTCAAGATTAAAACAACAGTTTCACACAATACAAACCAGAACGTCCAAAGTTAAAACAACAGTCCCAATTTATATATTTAAAAAAATGTAGCCAGCAGAGGTCGCCTAACCATCAGACTCAAACACTGGGGGGAACAGCCAGGTCTTCAAAGCCTTACAAAAAGCTAAGAGGGTTGGGGCTATCCAGATTTCTGGGGAGATGCTGTTCCCTAGTGTAGGCGCTGCCACAGATGGCCCAGAGTCTTCTAACATGGAGCACAAAAGAGATTGTACGCGCATGGGCAGGATTTCCCAGCAGATACATGGGTATCAAAACTGTTACATCGTCCTTCCCTTTGCCAGTGAGGATGAGAATGGTGCTACTGGAAAGGTGAGAGGGAAAGGAAGGAGGAAGCTGCTGGTGCCTGGACAATATGCAATGTTTCATCTGAGAGAGATAATCCCAAATGCCACACCCACCTCTGGAAAAGTATTGACTTTTCATTACGCATCTGAAGGCTGCAGGAGTTATGGCCAATGTGGTTGTGATGTCACCAGGACAAGCAGGTGTAAAGGGTCAAAAATGCTGTAGCCACACAAGACAGAGACACAACTAGCATAACTGTTCCTCGCCTGGTTCTACCATTTAGTACTCATTTTTCTGTAGATATTCTTGTTTGGTGAGGGCACAAGTCAGCTTCACAGGAGTCTTACCCCTACTTGGGAAAGCCACTTTGATAACATGAAACTGTCAGGAGGACGCACCAGTGGCTTTAGGAACAAATCCTCAATAAATTGCTTGTACAAGCACATCCTAATATGCTTTTCAACATGTGAAAAATGCAAGCTTATTAAAATGCAGGATGATTAAACAAGTGTCAGTGCCAAGTGCTTTAGAAATAAAAAGTCAGAAGCAACTTATATACCTTTAAAGGTCCAAATTGGGCTGGAACGCCATCTTCTTTCACTGGTAATTCAAGGCTGACACTTAAGTCCTCAGACCGAAGTACGTCTTGCAGAGGAAAAGCTGCTGAGCCAATCAACACTGGCTGAAGACCAAGGACCACAATAAGGGAAACTACATATACTCTGCACGTTTCTCTTTTATACAATCTCTATTGTATAATATACACTGTATACTAATCTCTATTCTATGGTGCATGTATTTAGAATGTACACGTAGAGCATTTCTATAGCGTACAATGAGGTAATACCTTTCAAAATAGTTAGCCAACTAACTATTAAACAGTAAGGCAAAGTTGAAATACTTACCGCCCAACCATTGACGAGAACATTATCAATTGCAGGAGGATTTGGACACTAGAGTTTAGTGTCAAAGGCATCACAGAAAATAGTCAATAAATATTTAAGAACTTTTAAATCCCACTTTTACAAGAAAACAGTGCTCAAACAGCTACCAAAAATGAATCAAAATGCAAGGTAACACACATGAAAGTGTGACATGAAAAGCGCATACTAAAACCAAAGCAAATTAAAAATCTTGCACAAATAATATCTATAAAAGTCACTTGTTAAAATAACCCAGTTAAAATCAAGCTGTTATTAGCCTAAAAGCACAACAAAGACTTTCGCCTCTGAAAAAATGACATCAAAAGGGACAGACCTTCTAAGAACACTCCAAAATCTGAAAAGGTTGTCTTGCGTTTCCTGCCCAGCAGGTCTTAACGCTACTGAGATGCCAAACACCCTTGACTGAAGAGCAAAGGGCCTGAATGGATCACATTAGGTGAGACAGTCTGTCAGGTATCTTGATTTTTGGCCATCAGGAACTTTAAAGTTCACCCAGCACTTTGAGGGGAATCCAGAATTCGAACTACTGCAAGAAGAGAGTTACGGACTTCCTAAAATCCAGGCCAGTCTGTCTGCAGGAGTTTTGCCCAAGTGTAGTTTCCTAACACTATGCAAAAGCAGAGCGTATTGCAGTAATCTGAATGATTAGTAATTAGCGTCTAGGCCATGATGGGCAAACCTGATGTTCAAAGAAAAGAACGAAACTGGTGCATTAGCTGAATCTCTTCAAATGCACCCTGGCAACAGCTATCCCATATGCAGAACTGGTTACCATCAAAAAACATCGATGGCAACGGACCCCTAATTCTCAGACTGTTTTCAATGGTTTCACGAGGTTATTAAATAGCATGCAGAGATCCCCAACACCATCCTCTCACCATCCCAGTAAGACCTGAACCCTAAAAAAAAGCTAGCCCCGAGAGAATCACACAGCGCAGGGTTGGAAGGGGTCTTACAGGCCACCCAGTCCAAATTCCTTTTCGGTGCAGGATCCACTATAGCTTTTCTGATGGGTGACCATCAAGACCTCTTGCAGAGAACTCTCCATTTCCTGAAGCTCCTCCGAACATCTAGCCTGAGCTACTGTTTCCTTGCTGTTTTAACGCACCACTTCTGGTCCTGCCCTCTCACAAACATAAAATACACTCCCTCTTCTACATAACAGCTCTTCAGATATTTTTCATCCAGAAAAATAATATGGAAAATAACAGTACCTTTCTTTGTGTGCCTTTTTTCAAAAATAAGTTAAATTCAAGGTGCGACTTCCACCAATGGGTGATCATCGAGCCACTGAAGTGAACAGGGAATACATAGCGTTGCTGAAACTTCACCCCTGCAGAGGGAAATTGGACAAATGCAAGGCAGAATGGCAGAAAGAGGAGTTTTTGAGTCAACATTTCAAGGTTCAGCAGAAGAAAACTCAAGAAACAATCCAAGATTTCTGAAGCAGTGTTAAAAAAAAAAGACCCAATGACAGCCTGATCAGAAGGACAGATCTTGAACCATTTGAATAAATTCTCAATTTGGAAAGTAGCAGTGGCTGGTTTGCTAAAAACAATATTTTTAAATGAAAAGATAGTTGGTAAGTGGGGGAAGTGCTATATTAAGACATAAATCTTGTCTGCCTGAAGAAAGGATGATGTAGCCTCGTCTGGCTGGGAATTCTGGGAGCTATAGTCCTAATATTACTAAAGGGCACCATGTAGGGAAGGATGGACTAGGCAAAGCCAACAAGGGGCTCTTGGTTAAATTTCAGCAGAACTTCACAAAATTGTCTAAGAACTTTTTGAGACGCGCAAGCATCATACTAAAGGGGTTGATTAATCCAATGCAAGGTGGGGGGCAATGGATATTGTAGAGAGGGTTTGCTTTGGGTTCATGCAAGGATTTTAGGGAGAAAAATGGTAAATGGGGATAATGGATGGGAGGATTCTGCCAGACTGATCATCAGCCAACTGGTTCAGTGCCAAATTGCTCTGAGCAAAGGGCTCCCAATATTTAAATTCCATAATGAAAACATTTTTTTAAATAGTTACTCAGTCTCAGTATTTATAAAAGGGGCGGTTCTGCAGTCACAGTCACTGGGGGAAACCAAAAGACTGCCTCTATTCAATCCAAGATAAGATTACAGAAAAATAGTTGCCAGTCCACCCAGTCTTACCTTCCCCTGAGAATTTACTTGAAGCCACCCGAACTATTTCTGTAGTTACGGCAGTCTGGCCTATCCCATTCTTTGAAGCTCCTACTGGAAAGTGATACTCAACAAAGAACGTCCTATGAACAGAAGAAATTGTGGAAATATATTGGGGGATTCAATGACTGCCTTTAATAACAAAAACCAAAGCATGCATGCATGCATGCATGCATGCATGCATGCATGCATTCATTCATTCATTCATTCATTCATTCATTCATTCATTCATTTGTTATCAGTCTCTGTGCTTTGCATGCAAAAGCCTCATGGTTCAAGCTCTCCTTCTAGTAAAACTAGGTCTAAGAATGTAGTGGATAAAGAGGATGACCTTGAAGGACAGAGGGAAGATCCTCTACTAAGGTCAGGATCAGAGACATGAAACTTGCAAGTCTAGAAAAGGAACTGTAATTGCCTACAGATGAAAAAACAAGAGTCTTGTGGCAATTCAAGAATCAACTGCCTTGTCATACAATTACTACATTTGTCTAAAGGGGCATAAACCACCCTATTTGGAAAAAAGGATGTGGACAACCCCCATGTGACAAAATGATGGGCTACACGAGGGTTTCTGGGGAATTCTGGGAGATGAAGTCCACACACCTTAATAGTTGCTGAGGTTGAGAAACATTGGGCTAAACCATGCCAGTGGGGAACTGAAGGCACATCTGCAGGACAGCAAAATGGGAAAGCCTGGCCTAGAAGTGAGGCTGAAAAGGGGTCCCTCTCTTGCAATTAAGATCCAGTGAGGATCATTATGAATCCCATGCTGAGTTGCAGTTCAGGCCGAGGATTCTTGCCCCATTTCCAGCTTCTTCCAAAACTACTGATCTGCAACTACCTTAAAAATGACCCTTGGAAGAGATCTGCTCCCAGTATTATCATTTATGGAAACCATTAGAAGAACAATCCACCTGAAGTCTAGTTAAGTGAATGAGTTGTCAGGCTTGATTAAAACTCTCACCTCTTTTTAGCCAAAGCTGGCCTGGGCGGTTTTCCAGAGGAACTCTTTTTGCTGGGGGTATCCTGAGCGCTGTCTTCAGGAGGGACCCCTCTTAAGCTCTCAATGACAACTCTAGCCAAACGGATCCGACCCAGCATTGCCAGTCTGTCAAGGCTCAAACTTATGGCTTGGGTTTCATCTGTGGACTCCGCTGAAGTCTGATGAGGAATGGGTTTAGCAAGTGAACTGCTGAAAAGAGAAACATGAACTTAAGAAACTTGCAACAGCAAGAGGCTTGAAACAACTCTCAGTCAGAGATCTTGCATTAAAGTGCTTGCATACATCATCACGTGCATGATTCAGGTCTTCGCTCTGAGTTTGTTTATCAAATTTGTCACCACCCATCTCGTTGAAATGTGACTCCGGGCAGTTTACAAAGGAGATACAATAAATTAAAAATACAATATAAAAACAACCTTAAAAATAATAAATAAATTCCAAGAACAATGGAATTGGCGTGTAACTCAGGAGTTCCTTATTCCGCTTGGGTAAAGAAAAGCAAAAGGACTGAATGCCCGGAAGATTTGCTGCATCCTCACAAGGGTTGGTCTTGTGAAGACTCCACGGCGACTATTCTACCTGGCTCTGGTCTCTGAGGCCTTCTCTTGCTGCCCACGAGGACTCAACTCCAAAGCCTTCGGTGACCTCTGAGGTTTTCTGTCCTGAGGCCGACTTGGTTTTCCAGAAGAAGCAGCCTCCTCCTCCTCTTCACTAAGGAAGTCACTTAAGCTGCTGTCAGACTTCTGAAGAAAATAATCAAGAAAAACAAACACCGTTTTACATTTACACGAGGCAGGGAGAGCTTGTGGCGTGGGGCCTCTGGGACCCTTTTCAACCCCTTTCCCAGCAGCAGCCATAGGAAGCACCTCTACTTTCTTCTGGGTCACAAAGTAATCTGTTGAGTCTGTTGCGTCTCCATATGTATTGTGTACATTTTTTCCCCAGGGACTAGTCAGGGTGTGTGCACACAAGTTGCCTGGGTGTGTGTGCGTGGGGGGTTATTTGCATTCTCCCTCTGTACTGCATCTGTGTTTGTGTGTAGATGTCCCCAGGGAAGTATGGGGTGGGCTGCACATGCACCATTTTGG